TTGCCAGACACCTGCCGGAAGCGCCGCATTGCAACAACTCTAGTGAATGACAGTGACACATACGGACATTTCAAGAGCTACTTTGGAACTGGACCATGTTTGCAAGGATGCTGACTGCCGCTTTTGATCTCAATGAAAGGCGCCTGCTCCTTGATTTTCCCGCATTTCACCTTTGCGACCTGCAGTGCCACTGCGCCTTTGTGCGCACGCCTGCTGGCCGCAGGGGTGAGGGACCCGCAGTGCCACTGCGCTCCGTGCGCACGCCTGTTGGCCGCAAAACTACAGCTTCCAGCATGGTTTCTGCGCTTCGTGCGCAGGCCTGTCGGCAGAAGCAGGCATTCCATCTCGCCTGGTGCTACGAAAGGTGTCACAAGGCAGAGCAAGTCGAAGCATTGACTAAGTTACATGAAGTTGCAGCAAGCCTCGGATCGACCTTGGTGTGCCATAAGAAGGCACCGGGCTTTCTGAGCTGGCTGCAGAGTGCAAGTGGTAAGGTGCTTCTCTTGACGGATTGGCGTGAAGCGAAGCCGATTTTTGAGGGAGTTGAACACTTGATGGATGGTGGACCACAGAACTTCAAGGTGCGCATGTGCATCATGGCGACATCAGACAGGATCTTTCGTCGTGCTTGTGAGTGGGCCAACTCCATTCGTCGCGGTGGTTGGGAGGTGGTCGTTCTGGACGTCTTCTCACGTGGAGGTGTTGAGGAGTTCATCGTGCAAGGCACCGAAGCGGCCCGTAACTTCTACGAGCAAGAGAACCTCGCTCCGTCTCCGTGCCGCCCGTGCCCTACTTACCCCAATGATGCCAAGGACCCGACTTCCCATTCACTTTCCAAGACCACATCCCCAAAATCGGAGCTCGCCCAAGGATCGGCGTCTCTTTGCATCAGGTTGTCCATGGCGACTCTTAAAGCTGCCTTGCAAGACCCCGGTAAGGCGACGAAGTTGGAGGAGATGATCCGAAGTACTATGTGGCACCAGCTCTATGAGGACTAAGACTCAGATGGAAGTGGGAGCAATACGGCTGTTGATATCAATCCTGCGTTACCTTAATGACCCTAGACTATGGGAATTATGCTATATGGCTGGTTATGGGTAATGCAAGATTGATATCAGCAACCGTACTGCTTCAGCAACAGCAGAAGTGCCCAATGACGCAAAGTCTCGTAAACACTTAGACTTTGCTTTTCCGGATGAACAACAGCCCGAAGGGTTTGATGAATCTTCTTTGCTTAGTTCCTGACCGAAGCTTCCTTGGGCAAGGTGTGCGTAGGGTTTATAGGGTTTTGTTTTAGGATCTAGGGTTTTCAAGTTTAGGCTTTCCCAGCACACCGCTGAACCCTGGGGCGGGTGGGCCGATGACAGTCCGAATACTGTAGGAGCCGAAAGAACAGGGGACTACTTCGGTTCAATCCCCTCGTCAGAAATATAGCCGACACCTGGAAAACCTGGTCAAGCTAGCCGAATTCTTCGAGCTCCTACAGCCAGCTCATCAACATACTACACCTTTGTTTGTACCCATCAGTGTTGGCCGGGTAAAGATGTCTTCTTGTTGGCACTGTCATTGGCGATAATTTAGGACGGTTACATCCCGATCCGTTACAATCGCATTGAGCCTGTTGGTGGCATGCTCGCTTCGTCAGTCTATGTAGGCGAAGGAGTCCAGTTAGTTCGCTCTGTTGCAAGATGAAGTACAGCTGCCGCCATAGATACAACCGGGATCTAGTTCTTTTCTCAGCATTCTTGAGAATAATATGCTCCCCCTGGTTTGGAAATCTAGGTCCCGTGTTGCGCCTTCTTCTTTTTTTGCAACGATTCACGGCGCGAAGACCTGAGACTCAGCCTGCCGAGCCAGAAAAGTTGGTCCGAAGTGGGGCAACCTGTATGCAGGCCTAGTTGAGTCATAGACCTTGCCATGGATACATGCGAATCTCCATGTCGTCACAAGGCATCCGGTGCGTCGGCGCAGCGAATTGCACTGCCGGCTCTGCTTCGGTCAAGCAGCCAGACTGTTTTTGTGCTTCTTCCAGTTCGTACTGTGAGTGCTCGTTGCAGCAGCACGCCTTACTCATGATACTTAACGAGACAGTGATGTTGCTAAGCGGGTAGTCGTCGTATTAGGTGGAGTAATATTATGCAAAAGACTACGTCGGATCTGCTACTGCTACTGTCGTGGGGGGCTACTACTACTACTACTACTACTACTACTACTACTACTACTACTACTACTACTCCTGCTGCTGCTACTACTGCTGCTGCTACTACTGCTGCTGCTACTACTACTACTACTACTACTACTTCTGCTACTACTACTACTACTACTACTGCTACTGCTACTACTACTACTACTACTATCGCCACCACCACCACCACCACCACCACTACCACTATTACTACCACTACTACCACTACTACCACTACTACCGCTACTACCGCTACTACCACTACCACCACTACTACCACTACTACCACTACCACTCCTACCACTCCTACCACTACGACTTTGTGCTACTACCACTACGACTTGTGCCGCTGCCGCTGCCGCTGCTACTGGCTACTGCTACTCCTACTTCTACTCCGGCTCCCACTCCCACTCCCACTCCTCCTCCTCCTCCTCCTACCACCACTACTACTACTACTACTACTACCACTACTACTACTACTACTACTACTACTACTACTACTACTACTACTACTACTACTACTTCTACTACTACTACTACTACTACTACTACTGCTACTACTGCTATTACTACTGCTGCTGCTACTACTACTACTACTACTACTACTACTACTACAACTACTACTACTGTATAGAGCTACTCGACGACGACGAGACACTACAATGTTGTGTAGCCAGCAAATCCTGCCGTAACTCGTGGGCAGAATAGCAACAGGAGCGAACAAGAAAAAAGGCCTGGGGACACGGCTGATCGACCTTATCCAGCATCAGGAAGGTTATAGTTCCCATAATAATGACTACCGTAAGTAATGCAGGATTTTGTCCATCAGCAGTAGTAACAACGACATCCGAGATGTGAGTTGCGTCCAGACCCGACGGCAGCAGCAGAAGTGCGGTCAGAAGAGCAAGTTCCTGAATGCCTTTTGGCCTATGTCAGGTCAAGGTAGGAGCAGAGTGGTCCTCGCATTTACACAATCCAAACTCTGTTGCAAACCCGTTTTGCCAGGATGCCAGGCTGAAAATCTGCAAGGTTGGGCAGGACACCTGTGCACGTAGGTCAGAGGCTTGGGGTGGCTAGTTGAATTCGGATTCGGTTCCGCACGAGAGATCAGGAAGCCACATGGGCCTGCTTTGAGATAGTTGAACAATCTTGTTCGGGGCTTGTTGACTTATTCGTGCCGGGCTTCCATCTAAGCCATAGTCTGCGGTGATAGGGCTCTAGGACTCTGGGATTGTAGGACTTGTAGGGATCTGGGATTTAGGTTAGGGTGTAGGATGTAGGGATTTCGGGCCTTTAGATTTTCAGGGTTTCGGGGTTGGCGTTTTAAAGGGATCTATAGGGATTCTATAAGGATACAGGGCTTAGGGCCTATTGGAGGTTCATGGGTAGTTGTAAGTATAGGGTTATGAGTCCCCTAATAAGGGTTACAAGTATAGCTACCTCTAATAAGGGTTACAGGTATAGTTCCCTTACTTATATAATCCCGGCCCAGTTATAAGTTATAAGTACCCCTGAACCTTCAACCAAAACCGAGCAACATTACGACCCTCGAGCCTAAGGTCGCTGTATGAACCCCGGAAGTTTTTTTAAATGCATCGGAAGAAAGAATTGTAATGCTCATCCGGGAGTTTCAAGAAGCTAGAGTCTCTAGAGGCCCGAATATAACTAGAAGCCGAAGTAGTGGGAACCCTGTTTATGTACTGCAAGGTAAGATCCAAACTTTGGGCTTTTACGCAGAATGTAGAACCTCATGCCCTTGGTGGTAGGATCTTTATTCTAAAGCGCCCTAAACCAGATACCCCCTAATTACTAGCTTTGGAGCAGGAAGAGTCGCACCTGGCGATGCTCCATCCTCGTCCCGTGGTGCCCAAGCACATCATCCTGGTGCCTCGAACTTAGCATGTGCTTCCCCTGGCAGTGGGTTTAGAGTTTAGGGTTCAGGGTGCAGGGTTTAGGGTATGTTACATGATACTGCTCACGTCCACACACGGTCCACTGCCCTTCCGAAGGCTTGCTGACTCAACATGTTGAACGTACCGCAGCGCACCGCCCACTGTGCTGACCGAAAGCCGGCCCGAAATGGCCGTAGGACCTCTGCATTTCGTTCTGCATGTCCGGCTCCGATCTAGTCTGGCATGTACGGTCCCAGCACTTTTAGCACCGAGGGCAACCGCGGTACTGCGCAATAGAAGACGACGATGGTGGTATCGCGTGTGACGATGCTGAGCACAATGATCATGACGGTTGCTGTTTCCCATGAGATAAAATAGGGGCCTAGATGATTACCTATACTATTTTGGTGGCTTCTTATTAATAGGTCCTTCTAGGTATAGTATAATGGGCCCCAAAACCCTATTCCAAATTACTACTTACCTTTGGTTAGTAGGGAATGGAAGAATGGGGTACAATTATATAACTACTATTACTACCATTCTTCCATTCCCTACTAACCAAAGGTAAGATTAAGGCCCCTACATTATGTAGATGTTAAGGCCGAGTCGCTTCGTGGAGGAGGTGACAGAAGCGCAACTGGCGCAGGAGGCTTTCTGCCGAAAAATACTTCTGCTACTACTACTACTACTACTACTACTACTACTACTACTACTAGTGCTACTACTACTGCTCCTGCTCCTGCTGCTGCTGCTACTACGTCTACTACTACTACTACTACTACTACTACTACTACTACTACTACTACTACCACTACTACTACTACTACTACTACTACTACTACTACTACTACTACTACTACTACTACTACTACTACTACTACTACTACACTTATGCTTCCGGGACCTTCCAGGTGGAATGGTTG